TAGGTATCAACATTACGGTGGCAACGGTTCTACTAAATTACGCTTCTGTGAACCAAAGCTTTACGTTACTGCAAAAAAATTTGGTCTAAGGACTGCGCCATTTTGTAGCAAATAAATGCATGGGAGCGCTTGAAAAAATTAAAGGCTAAATTCACAGAGGGTCTCACTAAATGACTACATAATGGCAACGTAATGAACGTTGACATACAACTCGCACGAGTATTAATTGTTGGAAACAGCGTACATGTCTGGTAGATTTAACGAGTCCAGACGATTGGGCACAGTCATTTGATGGGCGGCCGTAATAAAGATGACAAAGTTGTTTTCATGCTAATTAATGCTTGTACCCGTCTAAAAAATAATCCCGTTGGGCCTTGATCCCGCAGGCGGCTCACGAAATGTTAGCGGCAGCAAAAGTAACGTTGCCAGCGATGAGAGTCTTCGAACATCATTTGTACACACAATTGTATGAACAATTCCTGGGGATACCCGGTAATGACAGAGGGTTGAGATAATTAGCGCGCACATCTGTGCATGCATCAACATGGAACGTAGAAAAAATTGATCGATTATGAGACTCGTTCTGAGCACTTTTCGCTGGACCGCGCCCACAGAGCAATGCTTATGCGGGCCTTGAAGGACTCACTGTCGATCGCTTATCGATTATTGTTTGTCTAATGAAATGTATGCATTCGCGTGCGTCGAATTCCGTCGTCCTGTCATCCGTCTGATAATGAGGTACGTTTGCAAGACGTACACGTTGCCGCCTGGCTCACCCTAACAGGACATGCCGTACAGACGCTGGCCTACAGCTGATTTAAGCTCTGGCGGGACCAAACGAACCAGAGGATCCTTCAGTAACAGCCCTGACGCATACTGCACCTGAAATTTCGTTTACGATACTTGTTTACGGAAGAGCACATGACTTTATTTCAACCTGTATACGTATGAATGTCAACATAACGCCAAAACTAAGTGTTTAACTTAGTCTACCATTGTGAATAGCAGTATTGCGGATGCCTCGAATCAATGTTTTAAGGCTATACAGTAAAAATACGGCCTGCCAGAACGACGCGTTTACTCTCCTATTACTATAGTTTAAGATGAGTAACTAGCCCATTGCTTTCAGATCAATCTTAGGTGAAGAGTTACGCTCACATACCAAGATATCTATTTATATACTTAGTTAGCTATCTGCTATTATCAGAATTACTACTATTACTGCTATCGTACGCAGTGAAACAATATCGATAGATAAACATATGCTATGTATGGTACAGCATGGACTATGGGGAGGTAACAAAGATTGCGGCCATCTGCCAAAAGTGTTGTCCATAAGGCTTTATCAGTGTCTTTCTCTACTTTTCGCATATCCGTCTTTTGCGTGTTGCATGCTACATCGTGTCGCTATTGAACATGAAACACGACGCGGGCTATGAAGGCTAGTAGCACCTGGCGGACGCGACTGCAGCGGCGCTTCCCATTGCAGCGTGTTGTTAAATGTAAAATTTTATTCTGCATAGAACATATAATACAAATGGGAGCTAAATACTCCGCATTTCGAAAACACGCCATAGGCACCCAGCGCGATCTAAAGAGACAAGTGGATACGCCGTAGTATAATCACCATGGAGGCCAAAGGTGACTACGACATAGCGTCGAGGGGGGTGAACAAATGTGAAGACTAAGTACATTGATTATTGAAAGAACTACGAAAAAACCGGTGTGTGACGAACGCAAGAAACATTTTCGAGAGGATCACGACACTCACGGTGAGGGAACATATCATAGACTGAAGGAAAGATGGCGAAATTTATTAAAGCGTTTCCAGATAAAGCGTAGCAAGGTCTCCTGTAGCGAGGCTTACGGAATTGGCTGTGGGTCTTAATTCTCATGTTCCACTTGCATTTTATACCTTACGGAGCGAAATAGTCATTTTGACTTTCTGTACATTGCGGAAGGAGCGCGGCACTATATAGCAGCTTCTGTTTACATAAAATACAAATGACTCGAGAGTTTTGTCGAGTACTTAAGCGTCTAGGCAGTGCTTCAGCTGGCTATCCTTTTTCATCAATTTCGGGGTCATTGAAAGTGTTTGCTGAACACCCTTCTGATTAAACTAATCGTCAGCTACAGAGATCATTGAAGAATGAATCAAGCGCGCAAGAATCCACGAACAGGTAACGATAGATGCGACGTAAAGTCAACATAATCTCCGTGACGCATCGGAAGTTCTCATATCAAATACAAGCGCGCCTAGGCTTCCTTTTTCGTTCCTATTGAATCAGGGACTTTCCGGGTCAGGAAAACCTTTTAACGATAACAACAACGCCAACGAAGTCTACAAATTCAGGTGGAAATTCGGTAATCTATTATAAGCCATCTATAAGCGATTCCTTTCGAATTTTTGTATCGTGTAGGACCGATTTCAGTTCCGCCACGTGTTTACACGTACAGGATACGGGACAAACGTGGTACATCGGCATAGAAATCATATTATACTATAGAGTGCAATATCGAGATGTTGTTGTTATGCATAGTTAGGTGTTTTTGTCTAGACGTGTATATACGTTCTATACACTCAATCGCTCAACGCTATTTATTGTTATGAAAAGAATATAAAAGAAATTGTGCGTTTTATCAGTGCAACATTACGTCGGAACAGGAGCAACTGTTTTAGCGTTATAATTTATTATTCGTAGGTTGGAACGTCTGATCGATTTCTACAGCTCATTTCAGTTGTTGCCAATTGGTGGGAATCGCTTGCAAGTTTCCGGCACGCCTAGAAAAGACTAGAAGGGAAACAAGCCACTGCACGGTCATTCATGCATGAAGTTAGCTTGTTGTACCACGCACACATTGCACAGCCATTGGCTATTCGTAAAAATTATCACCGTCAGCATTTACCGCTGCTGCGGATCATTAGCAACTTGAATATTTCAGTAACTATCGTTTGGCTAGAGCAGGTCTTTAACAGAGGAGAAACTGCTACTGCCGTAACCGGATATGTGCATGTATTTCCTTTAGATTTTATTAAACATTAAAGCATAAAGGGAGCAGGGATGTGGTATCGTAGAGTAATTTTCGCTTTCATATACTCTAGGACGAGTTACGATTATTGAGAGCCTTAAGATTCAGCAAGTTAACCGTTTTCGCATACGTTATCTTTTTTCCTCTATCGGTGAAATAAGCACTGATAGGGGCTTCAAACGCATCACATGTTGTATTAGAACTACCCACTCTAATGCGTACCCTTATGACTAAGGACCCCTCAAAAGATATTTTGGGGACGGGCATCAGTTTATCGATTAGCACTACTAATTAGCCCCGCTGAGTTATTTAGAGTATTGCTACTTGATCCTTCTTTTCTCAAATGACCTAACTTGGAATCGCTACATGGAGCTATCGTCTTTGATTGATGCATTTTCCCTTATTTTTCTTTCTATCTATAAAGGCAACAAACGAAAAAGTAATCCTACTCTGTATCGTCGAAATGTGACAACGCCATTTTTTAAGTTGTTTGAAAAGAGCATTCTTCTTGTTCCTTGTGGAACTTCCGTACCGTTATACACCTTCTGGTTCATCTCTCATGACCACGACCTTCGTCCAATTTTCCCAACAGAGAGGTGATTGTACTAATAATGGCATTCTGATGAATATCTTTTTCCACATGAAGACTTCTATCGATGAGTAGTGCTAGTTGTTGTACAGTTATTTATTGAATAGACTAATTTCTTAGGAGTGTTTCCAATCTGTGGCCCGTTGGGCCGAAAAAGACCCTTGACTCCAGCTTACTTTCCCGCACATTTAAAGCTTCTACCTAGGTAATGCCTATCAGTATTTTAAAACCTGCGAAAAATATAACTACACAGGTTAAAACAAATAAATACTCTGTCGTTTAAGATGTTGAAAGAATAAACTTCTTTCCAACGTGACTGGTTGAAATATTTTAGGTTATATAGGAAAATCTGAATTCCGCTCTCTAGCGTTCCGTGCAACCTCACGTAAGGTCACCCAAAGAATCTTATGTTTACGATATATCGAAAACAAAATACATTTCGAAAACTTCAAAACAAGGTTTCAATTGGGAAAGAATGGCTCCGATTATATAGATCTCACTAATTGAATCTATTACAAATATCAACAAGCGGACAAGCTAAATCAATTTAAAAAAGGACCCTATTGGTAACCATCTCTAATCCGATTAACCGCATTTGCTAGCCAGATATATGGCGACCGGTTATTCTTAATACAGCAACTGCAGGACCCGACTCCAGCGTATTCTTCGTTGTGGTAGTTCATAGTGATAAATTTCATTGAATGCTTGAATTGTTTCAACCATTCATTCTTTCTTCATAGTAAAACATTACCCAACGTAAGCCGTCATGCTGAGCTAAACTTGCGCGGATTAGGTAACAGCAAGAAATACTTAGGCCGTTGATAACATCGCAGTAGTCAGTGACACAATCAGTCATCATGTTCGGAGAAGTGCAGAAATTGCCATACAGAACCTAACATTCACGATACGTGTCATTTCCCATTTCGTCTCTGCTTTTCAGGACTCTGTTGTCAAACCTAAACTTTTTGTCTGATGCCTAGCCCTGGCCACAAAGGAAATTCGACTCCCGCGGAAACACCTAGGTGTTCGGGGAACTACCCAACAGCTACACAGGCCACTCTAAACATAGACAAGTCAGTTTCAGAGCCTAACGAAGGAGAAGGTAGCAGAGGAAATTACAAACGAGAGGATAGAAAACCGAACGCATCTCCGTTATAACGAAACACTGCGTATTGATAGACGAAGATAAAAAATTGTGTCTGATTTAAAAAGGAGTCCTTCAGACGAACCGATATGCACTTAGCTCAAGTCGACAGATCCAGGCTTATATTTGATTCCCGCCTCCAAAGCTGTCCGCACCACCTCGCAAAGCTGTCACCTTCATTGTTATTAGTGTCAGCAGTAGTAACTTGTTTTCTTTAAGCCCGAAACTCTTCGCTGTTCTATCCGAGCGTTCGCAGAACAGGCGCAGCAGAGAGCGAACAACGAAGGTGTGGACGACTAGTTGAGAAAGAGGCTCAGAAAATAGAGCATTGCTTGCCCTGGAAACGGGTAGCATTGTCTAGTGGGCGTCAAGAGTAGCTACAAAACCAACAACAGCGAAAAGAGGAATGTCGACAATCTTGTGCTACCCTTCGATCTTGGAACAGCCCTTTTAGCTTAACCTGAACTGGATCGTTTTGGGGCCACGACAGAGTAATCAGACGGTGATCAGCGGTAACTGCATAAAAAAAAGAAGAAGCCGTTCGTCAGCCTCTGCATGGGTCGCCACTAACCCTTTCTCGGAGAAGTTTCATAGCAACCGATCTCGTATCAGTACCCTAGCCATGTAGATTTGGGCAAAACCCTATTCCCGCTGTTCACAGGTGATTGGGTCGCGTAGAGACCTGGGCCCCACCACACACACGTACAGTGCACGTCGTTCAGCATCTTCCCGAAGCAGAGCACACTACATCCAAGCGAGCAAACTGAAAGGCGGGCATTTTCAAAATGGTACACCGTTCGCTCTCGTCCGACCCTAGCTTTTTGACTCTACACGATATAGATATACATAGATATCGAAGCGAATACTCTCTGATGTGTTGGCTTAAAGCCCCGTACCCAATCGCCCTTTTCGTATGGTAGCGAGAGTGTTACCTCTAGTCGCTGCTGGGTGCTGTAGTGTATCGCCGATGCAGCGGTTACGGTCCTAATCTTGTAACGTCCACTGCCAGCAGGCGCAATCGAGTTGTGGAAACGGAGGTTAGAGACCTTAACGGAGGTTAAGGGCAACTGGAACTGCCAACGGATTGTCGCAAAAGTAATCTTTCTCAAACCGTCTTCATCAGCTGGCATTGTACCAAAGGCTTTCGTAGTAAGGCGCTGAAAAGGGCGAGAGTAATCAAATTGAATATTCAGATAAAAAGATAATGATTACGTCGATGAGGGCACGTAGATGACACAGTCGCCCGCCACGGGTGAGCTGCTTTTCTTTTTCGTCTGCTAGTCAGGCCATAGAGTATTAATGTCGACAGACGGGTCTGTATGCTGAATTGGTGCAGAAAAAGGCCGACAGAGTAACCTAATTCTATGGAAGAGGCAAAAGAATGCCGGCCGACTCACTCATTATTTCGTGCTTACAACTCACTGAATTATGCAGAAGAGTGAATTTGCCATTTGTGAAAGCATCTACTAGATCCCAACAATAATACAATATTTTCTTGAGTATAACGCTCCATAGAATTCTAGCCCAAGCGAACTTTCAGCTATTTGGAACGGAAACTATTGTTATTATCACTATTTTTGTCTGCTGTTTTGTTTATTTATTGTTGCTCGTAGCCGTTGCGCAGTCTGTCTGACAGTGAGAGACGTGCATGGTTCGTAATGACCGAAAGTCGCCAAAACAAAGTCCTGAAAAATTATCGATTTCAAATCATGTCTAATTCTATAGCGGCTTATCTTCTATTCGACAAAACAAATGTACAGAACTGAAAGCTCAATATCCAACTTGGCAGGTTCTTTTCTAAGGGGTAGTAATTCTTCTGTTACGCCGGACGGCTTTCAAGATGGAATAATCTTAGAGTACTGACATTTTGTCAGACCCCTGTACCATATCGCAGAGACTGTCAACCGAAGCTAGAAAGGTGCTCCCCTAGAATTTTATCAGGTCTGAACAAATTATAAACTCAATTTCAAGTAATTCAGTTTGCTTTTTTTGGAGGTAAAGTGTTTTTCGCTTCAATGAACAGTGTCATGATATACTGAGCGAACCTCCAAGTACGGGCCAGACTATGCGGAGGTGACAGTGTAGAGAAAGTCTCGATTATAAGATTTTAGAGTATATCTGCGAATTGACTTTTTTACTACATACCAGTAGAGTTTAACTGCTAAGCTGTTACTTCAGCTAGTAATTTAGCTACCTGGATATAAGCAACTTACCCTCAAATATACGTGTATGTTTTAGCAGTTTGCCGCGTAGAATTGGTTTCGCGTTAGTGGTAAGCGGCCACATTACGGCTACACCATCTGTCGTGACATTTGCGCAAGCTGGAGCTAGACTCGAAGTGGTGACTTGGTTAATTACCACTGGTACTGCTATGTTTACTTTTTTAGTGTTTGAATATGGAAGATATGGGAACGCATAAGAAAAACCACGACGTAAGGCGTCGTTTTGTCGCTGAAGGACAACGCAATCTAATCTGACGATTAAAACGATTTCAAAGATCCCAGATTCGAACAAGAACTTATTTACTATTTAACAATTACCTGCAAAAACGAATTTCGATCTCCAGCAATGTCACCTGCCGTACGCACTAAGCCGATATACTATGATTTACTCAATTTGATCTAACAGAATTAATTAAAAAGCGTACGTTCGATGACCTTTCAGATGTTTTCAATACGTGCGTGCAATTGCCCTCTTCCCACTGCTTTGGATTTGTTTGCCCGTTCGCCAATTACATCGTGTGCGATACATTCCACGCCAGTCTCACTCAATGAGATTTTCCGCAAACATCAGTAAGTAAGAGCGATACAAATGTATACCGCGGTAGATGTGGGCGGGCCTTCGTACGTCACAGTTTCCGCCTTTGTCGATGTTGATCAAACAGTTGCTGCCAAGAGTCCCCCGAAGCACTCAACAGTTCTTCCCCAGTGAGCAAACCGAAACATTCAAAGCAGGACAGTTCTGCTTGTGGTATTATAGGGATACGAACGTATGAGGCAACTTTCGTATACGCGCGTAGAACCCTTTTTGAATAGAATCTGACTCGGGCGGTATAAATCCCACAAGCAGTAAATCCTCTATAAAATCCTGCCATTATCGCGCATTTTCAATGTCTAACGTTTGCCGAAGGACGCATACTCGCGAGGAAATATCTAGGTAGGTAAAATACGCTACATGAGGCATAGATGCTGCTTGACTGCGCCTTCGAACACGGATTCGTTTTCGGAGTACCGTTCAGGCTGTCTGCGATAGCTTTCTCCATGTTCATTGGTGGCTTAAAGCTGTTCGCGACCAGTTAAAGTTTCATGGTTAACATTGTGGTTGTTTCACCTTGAATGACTAAAAGCGCCGCCGCATCTGTCGTTGCATACGAAATTTAAAATTATCGCTATGAACTCTCCTGCCGTAACTAGTTTCTTTGAATTATTATTATTCGAATCCGTAGAGCCTACCAAGCAAATCACACAGGCAACGTTATAAATGGCACACACTTCCGTCATGTAATTCGTCATTTCGCAACAGACGCCGAACGGCCGAGCGGTACTTGCCATAGCCACGTTAGACAGACACCCATAGAGGTAGCGGCTGGACAGCTGTCTCGTAAAGCCCTGCGCTTTCCCAAGTACTACTCGCGTGAAATGGTTTTTCCTAGCCTACCTCATCATCTGTATCTTTCAACAAAGAAAAGAAACTACACGGGCGGATTCTGGAAGCGTTGCGGTTCGCAACCTCTCCGTTTGCTATTGCAATGGATCATTATAGGAAGTGAAGTGTTGTATTAGTAGACGATTTGGTCAGAATGTATGAACGGTGACCGATTTCCAGTAGGTTTCAGTAGCCACAGGATTTAGCTTCACTAGCTTTAACTACACTGATGCTTTAGGCCTCAACCCTATAAAGTTTTACAGGGTCATACTTAAATTCAAGTGTGACCCTATCAGTTCTGCTGGCTCCGACGAATCCAGCGGTAAGAGAACAAACTAACTTAACATGATCCTCTATATTCCCGCTTACATTTAAGTAAAAGTGTTTTGCTTCTGCCCTTCGCCACGTTTTTTTATTACGTTATATTTTCTATTATTAGCCTTATGTTGAGCGCCTTGCTGTCGTTTCTCGAAAACCGATATTAATCTACATCTCTATGGATACCACAGTATTAAATAAGGGGAAGTTCAGCGTAAGTCGTCGAGCTACACGATGTGGTTTTTATAGAAGAATTGAAGCTCGTGACGCTGAGAGCAGCTTGATAAGGCGAGCGGTTGGAGAATTGTGTGCGCAGCGTTGGCTGGCCTCTAATCCAGGGCAAGATGTTTTTGATCAATTTGATTTTTTCCTTTTCCGGTAATCATCTGTGTACCCTGCAGATTCTTGATATATCGCCAGAAGATGACAGCTGAGGCTTTTGTATCGATGACCGGTACGCCTTCACCGACCCTGTTAATAAGACGACCTATCAGCCATTCAACCAACACCTACCTCTAACCCTTTACCGAAACGGTCAGATCAGACAAAAGGCAACAATCATTTAATGATTGTTGTATTAACCTAAATTAAGTACGAATAATAGTTGGCCGACGTCTGCCAGACAATGGCAAAGTTTTGCAAAGCAATCGTGCTATCCTTTAGGCCCAATGCTGGATTTCAGCTTGACAACATATTAGTAGCAGTGAAAAAATTACAGTATCAATCATAATTGTAGCAATGATCCTCCTCTATATTTATGGCGAGTTCCATATAATCTTTCGTAATGTCTAATAGGTATTCGATTGCATTCCGTAAAACATGGCGAGCATGTGATTCTACTGTATTTTTTCTATAGCCAGAGAGTTCTAATAACATAGAGAGAATACTACTAGTAATAATATAATAGTATAATAAAATGATAGAGAGAAACAAACAGTTTACTCTGACGAGGTGCATTTTCCGTTTGCGGTTAAAAAATGGTCTCGCCAAAGCGGTAACCACTCAGCCCCGACGAAGGTCAAACGATAACTTCTCGCATAACCCCTAACCGGCCAACTATCTAATTGTTGGTGTTTTCGTTTTTTAAAGAAAACAAGATATCACATTATGGTTATATGGACGAACGACCATTTTCCCAGGCATGTTTCGGCAGTTTAATTATTAGGGTTGTCAGCTGGCCAAAGATTATATATTCTGGCTGTTCTTATAAAACGAATGCTCTCGACGATTATAAGGTATCCCGTCTTTCTGTATGTGGCGAACGTAACCTTTTTTCTAAAGATCAATATAACGCCAGTAAAACGTACGCGCGTCGCCGAGTTAATCGTCGAACTGGCCCTGTTATTCTGGGTCAACAGGTCAATTAGCCTGTTTTGCCATGCTAACAACGAATTTACCGCACGGTAATTCGTTCGTTAGAAGGACGCTCACCTGAGCCCTTTTTCAAGGCTCAACAGATGTTCCAGGCTAATCTCTTTGACAAGTGGAAAAAAATAGCAAACGGTACGACCTGGAGAAAGTTTCCGTCTCACCGCCCTATCTCGTTAACTTCAATTGAAGGATTAACATAAGCTACACATTAGATGCAGTGATTATTTTTCGACCACGAAAGCAGAGTGGCTAACCGACATGACCAGGAAAAGATAGGACCACTGAACATCGAAGAGTTCTCCATGCACGTAGCACATTATGCTTCTGGGACCTCGAATTAAACCACATAATCCTTGGGGTTAATATTACACATACAGACATGGTCGCCTATGCTCTAGATCCTAGGATACATGGCTAAGTATAATCAGAAATCTTTCTAGGAAGATCGAGGGCAACATTGGAACAGATTTGTTTTTTACCGAAAGAGCCTTAACAGTTAACATTATTAGGTCCCTTATGAGCCTTCTATACAAAAGGAATAATTTTTCATCATAGCTTATTTACAAAGACGCATAAATAAAGTACATAAAATGATATAGTAATATTTTAAAATAAACATATTACCTACCCATACAGCAGGCGTTATAATATAAACATAAGCTCAGCGTATCAATAAGTAGTTCCTCAATTCTTCGATCCAATTGACGGATTACTTTACATATATCTAACTCTCTTAGTTATCATTGTTGTTATTATTATCACTAATGATATAAAGGAGGAGCAAAATGACAAAAAAGAAAGAAGAGTTCTGAGAACTCTTACTGAGAACCCAATAGGGCAACATAGAGGAAACCAAACGCGATATATCGAGAAGACCGATAACTATAAACAGCGTACCCTCTTTTCATTCATTTAAATAACGTCGTCTAAAAGCGATGATTTTTTGATCATCATTCTATGGTGTAAGTCTATAAGAAACATGCCTAGCCATAAAGCTTTGTTAACTCTGTTCATAAATATGATCGATATCGAAGATTTGCTTTAACTAAACTTCAGCTCAAGTTGTCTTTCTGCTTATTGTGATACTGATAATCTTTTGGCCCTGAATCAACTAAGAGTTTAGCGCAAAACAATTTATCTTCAGTACCCACTTTTAGTTAGTTTGTAGTTATGCTATATCTAAACTTGTACTAATTAGTCCACTTACCTCAAATGTGCACGTAAGTTACAGCCTGCGATAATTCCCAGTCCAAGTTTCTGAAATAGAGTTGTTTTTTGCTTTCTTATTGTATTCTAAAAACAGATATTTTTGCATTAGAGAGGAACGACACAAACATCATCGTGACTAACCGTAACTTAGTATCAATGTTACTTTAATCGAACAAAAACTTCTGTGGAAACTTAAATCACGACCTGATTTCAGAACCGAAACTTATCGTAAATTACCGCTAATCTCAAACAAAAAAAACATAACGATTTCAAGGAGCATCCTGTAGCATTTTCAGTCAAGGCGATGCAGAAAAGGGTGGCTTCTTCTTCATGATCATTTCGACTAACTGTTTGCCCGAATTTTCACCTTCACACACATTCGTTTGCTGATTGGTCCTCGTTACTCTCTGATGGTTCTAACGAGGCGGCCATCTCTAACCAGCTTATAGCAACAGCGCGCCCATTGCGCCCGTTGCGAAAGCGGAGCTCCTGCCATATCAAATACATTTTTTCATCTTCACGCATGTGTGTGTCTGTGTGTCGAAGATAAATTTCTTTCTCACTTGGTTTTTTTTCGTTCTTTACGACCTTAATATGGACCAGCTAAGGCGGCGTTTATCTAGCTAACCTTCCCTGTCAGGTCCCGAATAGACAATTTAGTGCGAACGGAAAGCCTAGCACAGACCGCGAGGCGGAGGGAACTTCGCCTTTCCTGTTTTTGTTTCCCAGTGGAATCGAGGATGTTTTATGCGAGTTTTAGGACCGGCTAGGATTGTCTGCTGCGGAGACGACGATAAGGCGAAGGACGAAAGCAGAAATGGGAAATAGTTGCGGGAAAAAGGGGGTGCAAAGATATTAAACAATTTTCAAACCGCCGGCGACACGGAATGGCAACAAACTAAGGCCACGCAAAAAGCAGGACCGCGCACCTACACCACAATATGGTTTAGATTCCAATCCTAGCGCAGATACGCTTCGTTTCGCTGAGAGCCAGCCGTTTGATAGAATGCCGAACGGTAGTACCAAACGAAAAAAGCACAAATCGTAAGACTTGGATCTGTCCAGCGAAGCGGTAGCAAACAGCTCGCTAACGGTGCTCTAGCACAGGGAAGTTAATAGGAAGAACTTTTCCAGATGCAAGGAGAGAGGAAGGAAAAAGAGAGATATTTCATTTGCTGCGGAGCAGTTTGGGCAAACAGCTTTTGCGCTGTTAAGCCGTGCGGGTATATAACTATAATTAGAATTAAGCAGTAGGCGTTGTGATCGGTTTCAGGAGATGCTCTCCTGTCTAGAAATTTATTCGTTCCTTTTTAGAGATTTATTCATTATGACTCAACACATCTCAGTTTGACTGTTGTTAAAACCATTCGAAACTACCGAAGGTATCAGTATAGTCCAATATTATGTTTTATTTGATCAAAGCTTCCGTCAGTAAAATCAGTAATAAACCCGTTAAACTTTACTTCTGCACAGAACCACTATGTAAACTGCTATGCTCAACCGAACTTAATAGCTCGATAAAAACGGGGTAGGCGATTGCGACAAGACGGTGCGGTTAATGGGTAATCATTAAAAGACCTAAGTCCTCGATCTTATCCTTCCGTAGTCGCTCCATGGACTCACAACTCCTACCTCGTCCCAATTGAGGATGCAATTGGCCGCTGTCGACTACTAGCTGGTTCTGCAGCTGCTAGCCTACGTTCATAAGCTCAAAGCGTTCTTCAGGGAGTGCAAGATGCGCTGTGGCCAATCTGTAAACGACCTCGTCGAGGATCGCTTAACTCGTGTCAGCTGTTGCTTTTCGGTGCGATGAGTTAAGAAAGACGCCGTCGAAGGACAGCTGGTCGCAGGGTCCCGATTTCAATGTTATCTTGCGGACGTACGTTCGTAGCAATGAAAATGTAACGTTTGCTATCGACATCAAACGCTGTTAGGCTAACGAAATGATAACAAGACAAGGTACGTATTGGTCCTGTGGTTTAGAAAAATGCGCGGAGCAATACTCTGAACTGATACTAACTTGATTAGCAGCAGAGAGAACGTAACAGCAATTTGCATCACCGTGCCATATGATGTGTGTATGTTTGCCTGTACACGTCTAACAGGGATTTCAAGCAATTGATCGATGTCCTGGGATAGGACTTACTCGGCTTTCCAGACACGTGAATATTCAATAAACTAGCACCGTAATGACCTCAAAAATTACAGAATAGAGAAAAACAGTCGTGGATAGATAATAGGTACAAGAAAATACTAGCAATAAGCAATAGGTCGATATGAGTGGTCGCCATGATTAGTTCTAGGGAGCAGTGGTCCTTTCCGCGATCGAGTTGTGATTGAGTGCACCGTACGCATACCTATTAGATGCTTTTCTTCTATTGATCCTCACGTAGACAGCGACCTATGCTGTCTTAAAAGTAACACCGGTTTAAGAAACGTCTTACAGTGACAAGTACGCTTCATATCGTACGTGTCGTTTCCGCTTGTTAACTCTTAACGGCCGACAACAAAACTGAAAATTTTATTTTTAGTTTTATTGGCAATTAGGTTGAACGTCTATTGATACAATATTTGGCAATACATAACTCAAATTACCAATTTTTGACGAGCAGTTGGACCACATTGGGACGAAGGGTTAATTAAACCTGCCAATTACAGCTCCCCTAGGAAAGCAATGCCTAAAATAATTATCTAGATAATTAAGAGAGAAATACCGTTAGCTTTAGCCGTTGACTAGTTAGCTGGTGCGAGGATGAAAAGAGGTTTTTTCTTTTAGAGCAGAACAAGCAGTAACTGGCAATCTGCATATAGTCGTGAGTAAAATTCAAAACGACATATCGTGTGCCGAATAAAAAATCTCCAAGGATAGGTTACGGGGGGAGATGCGTTGGGCGTTAGTTAGGTGATTTCAAGTGAATTTACAAAATGTAGAGGGATACCCGCCATTTTTCTAGTATAAATACGTTTGCTGTTTATTTTCAACGATAGCTGCCTTAATGGCAAGTATACTTCCATATGATTAAATATATCTATCATTCTGATCAGTACTACCTATGCCGAAAAGCCATATGATAGTTCACCCACGGATCAGAAGTGATCTCTAGAGAACATTGCATTTAGAATTTTGTCGTAAAGGGATTAAAATATTAGGTTGCAAACAGTTAGGATCAGTATAGTGAATCTATTTCTAAACCATCATAGCATTAAGGGTAAAATTAGCACGAATCTCCGCGGGAAGCTGGCTGACTTTGCGCAAAACTAACCAGCATCGTCACCAGCCCATCAAATGATCCGAAATTAGATCCTGATCGAGTGCGCCTGCTATCGTCTGGAACGCATTTTGGGTATAGCCACAGCAGAGCCTTCGATTCATTTGCTATACAATATGTAACGGCATTGTATCTTGCATGGTCATTATATAACATAGGATTATAACGGAAATACTCCAGTCAAAAGCGACCAAAAACGCGCATTAAAAAGAAAAAAAAGTAACTGGCACTATGTCATAAGGATCATTCCAAATAATTTCAAATTTATTTACGATCAATTAAAAGTTTGAAAAATGCATCTAAACGATCTACAATATGAAAACTGCTTTAGACCATGTATCATCCTGCATAGAAACTGGGTTTTACCAGCGACTATAATTTGATGACCTTCTTTCACCACATGCAGTAGAAATCATATGTCAAAGGGAAAGCTCTACGGTCGTTTTCACTTAAGTGACTTCTTCGTGCGTTTATCATGTTCTAACATATACATGGCCTTCGACATGGCACATATGTACGGCTCACGGCGGCTTTTGACAGTTTTAGAAATATTTCCTCAATGCTTAGTATTCTGTGGCTAGAAGGGCACTTTCTCTCTTAGCTCTGTCCCCCTTGTCGATCTCCGTTAGAGCGTAATATTGAGGTGTTTGCCTACTGAACAAAGTGATGGAAGCAGTTTAGCTTTGAAACTGATGTCGGATAGATGCACTCTTTGTTTCATGCTGAAAGAAGCTAGTTTGCCGAGACGACGCTTAGCAGTAGTACTAGAATCGAAATTTAAAATATACATTTTACTCGATGTTCCGGCAAATCGGTCGTAAAACCTTACCGCGCACCTATAAATCTTATTAACAATAAGTTTCTAGAGATATTTTACGGTAATAATGATAATAGTAGTATTGTTTGTTCTCGTATAAAAATTTCACGGATTCATCCGTCCTTTCTATCCAAGGATTATTTTATGCCTGTTTTTTGAAGTGGCACAACTTGCTATCGACACATGCATACACCTACGCAGTCGTAACACGACAGGATGTAGGCACCTCATCGGGATGGTTGCCATTCATTCACACAACCCTTCAACACAAGGGATATCATTAAAATTTGTTGACATTTTGAGCATGAACAGCAGTGATGCTGCACAGGATTGACAACGTTATCGTTGACCTTTTTCCTTAGCTGTCCATCGATAATACGACGTAGAATCTCTAGATAATGGATCGGGCGCGGTACACCTGCGCCTCCACTGCCTCATCATCATCGTGTGGATAGGCAAAGATCAACAACGATGGTCATACAGCAGCACACACGAAGATACAACTATTCAATAATCGATGAGGTACCACAGAACATAGCCGAGCGCGAACAATCCGACAGTACACGTAGAATATGTACGGCGACTTCGACGAGACCCCGAGCGTAATTTAAGGCCCATAGTTCAAACTAGATTTCGATTAGTGCAAACAGCAGGGCAAGCGTATGAAATCGAAAATCACTCGCCAAAGCCAGATGTTCGCGGGAGATGGCGCTGCGAATTGACGCTGGAAGACGAACGGGCCCAGCGGGAAGAAGATTATCGGTGTCAGGACAATTAGGAGACAAAGCTTCGGTCAAAGATTGGCGGTAATATGTTGGCTGCTTTACAGCGGTCGACGTTATTCATGCTCTCACCTTTGAGTCAAGCAAGAAGACTCTTTCTGCGACGGTGGCAGCAGGGTGAGTGGCTTAGGAGTCACTGCTGTCATCATGACGTTTCTTGATTAGGCCACTGAAGGACATCGGGGACGATAGTGGGAATCTCGTTAGTCGTCAGACGTGTGCACCGGCCGAAGTAATAATTTTACGCCTCACTAATAATCAACGTAAAAAAGAAGGGATAATATAATAATATCTTAGGGATTAATATATTCATTTTTCTGAGCAAAAAACGTTCGCTGCTGCATATCGTATTATATATAATAATCACGAGTCGTGACTTGTTTTTTCGACAACGATCACATCAACAACAACAACAACAACAGTAATAAAGTACCAATAAAATTATGCACAAAGCTAGCTTTAGTGTTGTAGCCAGTCGTTGCCCTAATATCCTAATACCTGACCTCTTTGGCTATTTTTACAGCCGTGTTTTTGTTTTTTATATCCAGCACCCTCCATATCTCTAGTGAATGGCCGCAGTTAGCTAAATCTATTTAATGCTATCCTCTCGCAGGCCGCATGTCTCTCGAAGAACCGCTTTAGCATTCTTCATCTCTAGCATCTTTAGCATTCTAATAGAGAAGGCGAGGCAATGCCAGTTGCAGCAGTAGCAAAGAGTAAACGTACGCTGTTCCGTCATCATTGAGTTTGACGTCGATCTTTATTACGTTAATGATCCCATAGTCCCGATCTGCGTGTTAATTCAATGGCCGCGGTTATTTCCCATAATGACGGCAAAGGCTGCTGGCGAAACTGCGTCCTTTATCGTAGCCATTCTGGGTCGTCGGCACATTGAAACACCACTACCGCATAACGGGTTCACGCTGCCGAATCAGCCGTTGCCTTCATAATGTATTGCCGATTGACAGTGACGCTGATGGACCATTATTTTATAACGTACGTAGTACTACTGGCCAGAGCAGTTCGCCAGAGTGTCTGGGCTATCCATCAGAAATGGGTTTGTGCTAGCGGCCATCTGCTGCTGCTGCTGCTGCTGTTGCTGCTACAACGATTAGAGCAGCGAAAGTAGTAAAACTGTTTTTATTCATTAATTTTCTATCGTATCGTGTAAAGTACGAATAGACGCGTGTGTGTATGCGTGCTGATATATTGCTATAATATCTAGTATATATAATAAGCATTGATCGCGCTTAAATTATCAACAATATGACTATATGATGACGAACGTAGGTACGGAAGGGGGCATTGTTGGTCAGCCAATTGTCTAGGCGTAGCGAGAGGATGCTTAGCTATATATGCTCGGTGGTACGCCAGAGTTAATCACGTAACCTGATGAGGTTTTTTTTTTTGCTCGGGGAAAAATGCTGTGTCGTCGTTTTTCATCGCAAGGAGTGACGGTCAAAAAAACAGTTTGCCTAAAAAATTGAATGAATATAAATTTAGTATATCGAATGATTGGTTGCTTTTTTACCCAAGGGAACGAAGCATTTAGAAAGATCAGAAGAAAAAAACAGTTTCCTATGCAACAAAAAAAAAAAAATCTATCTATCTATAACAGAGAAAACAATTTAACTTAGACGTACGGATATTTGGATTAATAGCAAGTCGGTAATGTATTAATACACACACGAAAACTGCTCAGAGGGAAAAGTTCCATGTTTCGTCTTTTGTGGCATGTTATTACTAGAAACAGTGGAACGAACACGTAAGTATAGTCAATTTTTCGCCGTCTGATTTTCTCTGCGAAGAACATCCCGCAAACGTTAGCAACATGAACTAGTTGTTGCCGATTGAGGACCCTATATATACACTTTTACACACCCCCACATAACCGTAGCCCACACGTGCCCCAGGCCGAGTACGTAAAATTCATACGGATCAAAATCATCAGACGTTACAGGCCACACGGCGAAGATTCATTATTGTGGATGTGTGATCGTTTGTCGATGCTCGTATCGACACGATCCCTACGCCCCAACATCCAATCGACCCGGGGTTGCTTATAAGGCGCGAGCGAAGCTGACACCACCGCGTGTGAAAAACGGGGCGAACCCCTTCTACAGGACAATTAACCATTGACGGGTAGCATATTATTACAGGTCTGCAGCTATAAGGCGATTGAGTACGGTAGTACATAGCCAATCCACTAAACGGATACACCGCATGTGGCAAATCACGAAATATTCGTACGTAAATTACAAGCCCGTTTACATCTGT